ATCACTATACAGTGCACTCGTTAAGCGAGGCACCACTGTAATAATAATAATAATAATAATAATAATAATAATAATAATAATAATAATAATAATAATAATAATAATAATTAATACTCTGACTTCAAACCTCCACTGCCTGTGGCTATATCCACTGATGGAAAAAGCTTCGGGAGTTAACCTTGAGGCAAAATCTGGAGCCGAAGTCCCGGAAGCAGTTTGTGTTGTTCTGGCAACTCCTGCGATGTCGCTGAAACCAGTTGTATTGGCTCTTGCCTTTCCATTGGACTATTTCAGCAATGTGAAGAGGGGGATTTGCTGCTTGGGTAACAGCCTATCCTCCATATTATTTTACCCAGGCTTCGTGCCCTGGAGAAGACACTCCAGCTTCGTTTACAGTGTCAAAACATTAGACGCTGTTCCAAGTCCTCCATACAGAGCACGTTACCATAGTCTCTTGAGACTGAAGGATACCTATGAAGGAAGGATTTCTGACAGTCATAAAGGTTGCTGTGAATCACTCACATACTCACAAGTGTGGAGAGCTAATACTCAATTCAAAACTTTGGTAGGGGAATTGCTGTAGCTACATAAAGTATAAACTACCTGCTGCTGTGTCAGTCTGTGAGGTGTATCAGACAAAAAAAACCATACAAAAACACCAACCAACCAAGACAAATGTTGTCATGTCTTAAAGACCAGCTGCTATACTTTAGGTTTTAATGGGTTAAATTCGCCTCCTCAGACATCATTGTCATTTATACATGTGCCAGTGACCAAATGGGGATACATGATCTGTAGCCCCACCTGGTTATGGGGTTGTATAAATATGATAGACATATACTCTCATGTCTGAGGAGGTGGACCTGATCCACAAAAGCTCACAAGATAATGTAGCAGTTAGTTTTTAAGGTGCCACCATGTTTTTGACTCTTTTTTCCTCCCCACCAGCCTAATTAAACCTGTTAGGGAAAGAACAAGTGAATCCTAGAACAAATAATGTTGAGACTGAGGCTGTCCTACTTTGAGCACATCATGAGAAGGCAGGGTTCTCTGGAAAAGACAAGGATGCTGGGAAATGTTGAAGGCAGCAGAAAAAGAATACTGGATACGAGATGAATTGACTTCCTACAGGAACCACAGCCTCGATTTTGCAACAGGGTAAGGACAGAACATTTTGGAGATCACTCATTCATTTGCAACAGGGTAAGGACAGAACATTCATGGGTTGCCATAAATTAGAGACAACATGATGGCATGTAATATCAATAGGAAAAATATTAAAACCAAGGTGTTCTCTCCTCCGACAAAAGTACTAAACAGCCTGAATTGGGGCATCTGTGTGATTTTAGGGCAACTGTGGATGGAACAAAAAACTACTGGTTGCCTACAGGGTTAAACAGCACCCCTACGGATCATTTATCTTCTGTCCCACACAAGCAGCTGTAGGAAAGATTTTAACTGAAGATGCTCTTGCACTGAGGAAACAGAAATAAAAATGACTGGGCCGCTGGAACCAGAGGATGGCGAGTGACAGCTGACCCCACCTGATAAAACCCGAGATCTCCCCTGGGGTTGGTGATGTCAGTCGAGGCCCTCCCTGGTGTGTCACCTGCTGGAGTGTGATATATGGATCCCTTTGTAGCCGCTCAATCAATTGTGCATCACGCATAGGGTGAAATGAACAATATGTGTTGTTCTTGTTAACTAGGATTATCCTCGAGAATACCGTATTTTTCACTCTATAAGATCCACTTTTCCAACCCAAAAAGGTGTGTGTGGGGGAAGCGTCTGCGTCTTATGGAGTGAATACTGTAAAACAGCGCTCCCCAGGACTCAGTGGGGGGATGGTGGGGGGAGCCTCGGAAGGGTCCGAGAGTGCCTTCCAGGGTCCTTCAGAGGCTCCACCCACCCACGCACCCCTGCGGGGCCAGCCGGGGTGAAATTGCGACCTTCCAAGACTCTTCTGAGGCTTGGAAAGCCTCAGAAGGCTCCTTGAAGCTAAAAATGAAGTGCGTCTTATGGAGAGGTGCGTCTTATGGAGCAAAAAATATGGTAATTTTTTCCTTTCTTATCTTAGATCACCACATTCAAATTAGTGAATTACTGATGCAATGTTTAAAGTCTATTGAAAGTTCATTGCTTCTTATTAGGTAGTTGCTGAATTATTCGGAAATTCTGTTTTCTATTGCACATGGTCAGTTTTGTTTGTTACTATTAAGCTGCTTTGAGCATAGTTGTATCTCCACTGTAAAATGCACAATTTCTAAGAAAGAATCTCTGATTTTCCTGACCCAACTTCAAATTTTGGCACTAACTCTCTAACATGTTTTGCGACAAAAACCACACAAAAACAGAATTTAAAAAACAACAACCAACACAGATATGGTTTATAAGCACACAACAAAGCAGCCCCACAAGTCCAGCCAGGTGGCACTTTGCTCCTCAGGGGAGGTCATCTTGTCGAGCCAAGGTCTTCCGTGCCATTTCCAGGGCCCCCTCCTTTGTGAGGTTCCCCCCAATGAAGCCGTTGGAGTGCACGAAGATGCAGCCTGGGATCCCGCTAACCTCAGAGAGCTCCTCATCCCGTAAACCTCTCCACTCCTCCAGAAGCGACAATCTGTGGAGCATTGAGGAGAGACAGACCAAAGAGATTATCCCACAAAACAAGAAAAAAGAGCCAGTGTCATCCATGAATACAATCCAAGAACAAGGGTGAGTGACAGCTTTATTAGAGCAACCAAACCTCAGTCTTAAACCCTGGCCCAGTATATCTAAGAAAGATGGCTGCTCTCAGATACTAGAACTCCCTCCCACTGGAGGCCACACTGGTCCCATTTTGGCTGCCCTTCTGCAAGCAAGCGTAGGCCTTTCTCTTCAGGCAAGCTTTCCCTGAGTGCCTGAGTGGGTTTGTCAAAATGGATTGTTGTACTTTACTGCCCTGAATGTGTTTTGGTGTGCTTATGTTTTTTAGTATAGTATTCATTTGATCATTTTTAGTATTGATATACTCACTGTTGTTAGCTTTAAATAGTGTAATTAGGTAAGATACCTTGTGTCCCCCTTAAGGAAAAAGCTGCAGTGTAAGTAAGTAAGTAAACAAAGTGTGGCCATCTAGATGTCTTTATTCTGTGACATTTCTACCCCACTTTCCCAATACGAGGTAGCACTCATGGTAGCTTAAAATCACTATAAGAAATGATAAAAACAAAGATCAGAGTCCAATTGATGCCCATGTAAGGTCCACATAACTTGGTGCAGGTAATTATGAAGGACACATCTTATATATATGTGTGTGTGTGTGTGTATGTATGTATGTATATTTTAAAAAACTAAATAAGTAGGATTCTGGCCAGTGAGAAACACAACATCCAACCATAAAATTAAATAAAACGAAAACTGATCCCCAAAATTGGTTGTGTCACTTAAGGTTGGGATAACTTGACATGGCCAACTGCATCTAATTGACGAGATGCTGGATGGCTTCTCAGTCTCTCCATTGGCCATGTGACCATCTGGCACCATGTCAATCAACTGCAGTTAGCTGCTACAAGTTATGCAGACCTTAAGTGAACACCAGTAGGGTTCTAGCTAGAGATGGGGGTATTTGTATACAAATACCCTCCCACAGGTGCAAATAATGAGGGTCCATCCATTCTCCTACAACTAAGTAAGCAGGTGGTAGCCTTTGCCATGCCCAACATTCTGTCCCTATTTAAGATCTACAAGCTGAGAAGAACCCCACTGAATTGGACAAGCGGTTGCCAAAATTACTTCAGCCTGACTTGCTCCCATATGGGAGTCTAAATCAAGGTGAATTCTTTGTCATCGTTAGCTAATGGTGAGGAACAGTGGACTTTGTCTATAATTTTTGGAGGGCTGCACAATGTCCACTCCTGATATAAAACAATAAATAGATTTTAAATAAATCCAAAGGTGTTTTCAGAAGGGTAGCTGGGTTAGGCAGCAGCAGCAAAAACTGACCCACAATCTTACGGCATGTTAACAATGGACATTTATGATGGCATAAGCTTTCAAAGTCCTTATCAAATGCCCACTTAGGCTATGACTTCATCTATCTCCTGATGTGGACACTGGCCTCATACCATGAGAAACTGGAAAAGTTTAAGGGGCCATCAGAGGCGTTGCTGGTTTTAAGTAAGTATAAGCATATGAATGCAAGCAGAGCTACTGTGCCAAAGATTTGGGAGTCTTCCCAAAGCTCTGGCATTTCAAAACTATTCCCACCCTTCCAAGACAGGACACAAGATCAAGGGCTTTGGGGAATTCACACTTACCGGTTCTGGAAGGTATGCAGGCTAGCTGGGACACACTGTACCCGCCACTGCCCCCCCAGATCTGTGTACAGGATAAATTTGAGAGATGTCTTCACATTCATCTCTTCCTCCAGTTTGAAAAGATGCTCCTTCCATGGGCAACCACCCTGGGCCAGTACCAGAATCTCACCACGAGGGTCAACCTTCCAAACGAAAACACTCATTTAGGGTTAACAATGGCACTCCACTAGTAGATAGTGGGATGTAGGCAGGGTGTCTGCACTGTCAGCAGGATGGGGGCATTTAAGGTATTTATTTGCTAATAATGATTTTAAAGCAAATAATCTCTACTTTTCTAGACCGTAGTGCAAAATCAAGTTGGCATTATTAGACTGTTGTTATTGTTGTTCCGTGGTGTCAAGTTGCCCTTGACCTATGGCCACCCCATGAATGTACAATCCCCAAAATGTTGTGTCCTCAACAGCCCTACTCTGCTTTTGTAAACTTATGTCTGTGGTTACTTTTAGGGAGTCAACCCATCTCATATCTGGCCTTCCTCTTTTCCTGCTGCCTTCAATCTTTCCTAGCATTATTGTCTTTTCTCGAGAATCTTGCCTCAGGTCAGATTAGTACAAGCTTTCCTCCTAACTTCTAGGCTATGTGATTTAATAGAGGGAAGCATGGGAATGTGTACTCTTTGTTAATGCCTCTGGAACAGGTGAGAGTGAAAAGTGGGTGTGGTGTTTGCCCCTTGTGGCCCCTACCTGACTCCCTAAACACAGAGCACACGAAGGCAAACCAATACTCCTTTTCACCCGCTGCCACCAGTTGATCACTAAAACAACATTACTTATAGAAGGATGAAGTTGAAGGTCCAGACTTCACTGTCTTTTAAATAAAGCTTGTTTATTGATTAGAGATGTTTGATTATTAATCATAGGTAACTTCTACAGGTTTATTTATCATCAATCTCAACCTTCTATTGGTTATCACAGTTCTTATTCATTCTTCACTCTAATCACACCTCAGATCTCCCAAATACCACCCTCTGTCTCCCTCTGATCTCTCCTCTTTCTCACTCCCTCGCACTTACTGACTGTTCACTCTCTGACTCTGACTCTTTATTACATATCTCTTGGCCCCGCCTCTTAGCGACATTAGCCTGCAACATGAATACGCATGACCACTTAACATAATAAGGGTGAATGCTACAGTGGGCTTCCCCTAGAGTGAGGAAAGGAGCCACCTTCTGGGCTGCTTGCTGTGTCCTTTCCACCTCCATGGTCCCAGCTGCTGACAAACAGCACAATCATGGCATGCAGATATTCACTGTGAATCACAAACTACCACTGGAAGTCGCACGGTTTTCACCTAGGACTCACTTCTGCATAAGGCAGCACTATAGTGAGAACAGGAGTTTCAAGCCTATTAGAAGGTATGTTTGCAAAGCTAGCCTTCAACCAGGGCAATACGTCCCCTCTTTCCTTCATGCTGCTGGACCTAAATTTCGCCAGTTCCTCATTACTGTTATGTTAGGAAGGGCTGCTTGGCAATGGAGGGTTGAAAGTTCCCAACCCTCACTTTAGACTTCCAGCAAAGCCAAGGTGCAATGGTAGGTACCTCAAAGCGCTGCTGAATGGCCTCCTTCACAAGGGTCCGCGCAGGCAGCCAAGCACGGTAAAAATAATCCAGCCGATCCAAGAATTCATTGCCCACCAGCTCCATGGCCTTCTGGAAACCTGCCTGAGAAAGAAAGTACAGAACTGGAAATTAAATCCTGCAACCAAACACAGTTGTTCTTTCGGGTCATGTAGTCTGTTCCACCTTTGGAAATGTCTGAGCTGCTGGCCTGTCTAGAGAGGGGAGGTGATGACCCCGGCCAGCCTCTTGTTCTCCTGCTGAAGGAATCATTCCATATATTCAGAAATTGAGTCATGGCAACTGGACTCGTTTCTTGTTAGGCTGAAACGTTTCACTACTCATCCAAGTAGTTTCTTCAGGAGCTACTTGAATGAGTAGCGAAACGTTCCAACCTAACAAGAAAGAAATCCAGTTGCCATGATGCAACTTCCAGATAACCTCACCTGGATGACTGAGAATCTTCACAAACAAACGTTGTTTTGTTAATTTTTTACCATGCTGCTTGTTTGCTCTTTTTCAGCAGAAATTTTTGCTCCAGGCTGGCTAGAGAGACAAGTGTGAATTGCTTCTCGCCCAGCAAACCTCATGCAGACCAGCACCTGGACATCACAATGGGTCTGGCCCAGGTTGCTAAGATGTGGTGCCAGGCTTCTTAATAGGTCTCTTGTCAGCTGCGTCTATGGTAGCAAGAACAGAATGGAAAAGAACCTCTGGAGGTTAGGACTGAACTTGCAGAACAAAGAGCTGGTTGCTTTCCTTTTTAAAATATTGTCCAATTATCAGCTACTCCCTCACTGAAGGGTTATTTATTTATTTATTTATTTGTTTATTTATTCATGCATGCATGCATGCATGCATGCATGCCCCGCCCATCTGGTCTTGTGACCACTCCAGGAGGCTTCCAAATACATAGATAAAAACATACAAATATACACAAAAATTATAACATCAGCTAATAAATTAATAAATTATTTAAGATGGCAAGAGAAAAGAAAGAAGAAGTAATCAAGGGTTAACTGGAGGGGTACAGAACTGGTTACAAATTCATGTAAAGTATATTAACCATTTAGATTAGTGTTTCCCTGCCTGGGTGTTGTGACCCCAAGGGGGTTACAAACTGTTTGCTGGGGTGTGTGTGATGGGTTATCTTATATGTCCTGCAGCCCTTATAAATTTTTTTCCATGACCCTTTGAAGTGGGATATTAAATTTGCATGCATCCGTATGTATGAGAAACAGACGCTTTGGGGGAGAAAGAAGCTTCTACTTTCTGAGAAGGGATAACTTTACTCTGTTAAAAATGCCTTTTTATGCAAACATAAAAAGTGTCACTGATTATTTGGCTATTATAAAAGAGGGCCATGATTCAAAAAAAAAAAAAAAAAGATTAGGAGCCACTGATCTAGAACCTACCAGGAAGATACTAAGTGTTGTGTTTTTTTTTTTAACAAACATGGAATTCAGATACCATACAACTGGTGCAAAGCAAGCAAGCTAACCCAATTAGCTTTTTTTAAATGGTGGAGCCAGTTCTCCAAGGTTTGATTTCCTGAGGGGGATACAAAGGGCTACAAAATCATTAGAGACTATGAATTACTTGCTAAAAACAGCCTGATGGGACTGTGGCGCAGAAAGACCCTGTTCGCTCTGTCTGGGGGAGTGACAACAAAACAGACGGGCTGGTCTAGTGAGCAAAGGGAGAACGTCTCTCTGTAGGCCCTCAAGTATCAGCTAGAGGTCCAATAAAGACCATCACTAAGCCCCAAGGGCCCCCTTTAAGACTCACAGACTGGTAACTGCCACTGAAGATTTCCCACAAAACCTGGGAACAAGATTATGTATCCCATTATGGGAAAATAAACAGGGCAGCTTCCCAGGGCTACCTGGAGCCCTGCCTCCTGCTTGCTACTGCCAGTAGCTAAGCCCACAGGAGACTGGTTCATGTAAAGAAGGGTCATGCCAGTAGCTGTACTTCTTGACAAAGGATGAAAACACTTCTTGGTGAGGTTTTGAATTCTTCACCCACCCCAAAAAATGAGTTAGACAATCTGGAAAAGAAAACTCCCTCCAAAAAAAAAAGGGGAAACCTGGGTGCCTAAATGCAGTTTCTTCATTTCTTGATATAGATCCATCAAAATCATCTGGTGGGTGACTGGAGAGAGGGCCTGTTCTAGGTCTCTATGAAGGAGAAACGCCTACTCTACTCAAGAGAAAATTCCTACTATGCTGTTATCTTTTTGGTGATGCTCAATGGTTTTATCCCCTCCCAGGCTTCTGATTTAAAAGGTATTTTATTAATTGTTTTTAAATCACTGTTTTGCTGATTTTATATTTTATCTTATTTTTTGTTATGTAAACTTTCTTGAAAAGAGACGAAGGGTGGCTATACACGTTTTAAAAACAGGAACACTGCCGCTTTAATTATGTGTCATGCCTGGATCCATGTGATGAATTTTGGGAAGCACGCATAAGCTCCACACATCACCTTAGCTAGACCCTCCTGCATTCAGCTGAGCACATTTCCAGGGTTCCTGTGACAAGGAGACCTGATAAGGCAGAGCTCTGGACTGCCTGTCTGCTTCCTTCTAGACCAGTGGTTCTTAATCTTGGGTTACTCAGGAGTTTTGGACTGCAACTCCCAGAAGCCTTCACCACCAGCTGTCCTGACTGGGGTTTCCGGGAGTTGCAGTTCAAAAACATCCGAGTAACAAAGGTTAAGAACCACTGTTCTAGACAGTTCCATCAAACGCAATAAAGGTTTTGCTGACTTCTAGGTGGGGTGAGAATGCAAGGGGGGGGGCAAGGCTTATATGCATCCCCACACCTGCATCACCCACTGAACTTTCCACAGATGCCGACATAATGCTTGAATCCGGCTATTCGATTTGAAGTGCTGGTTATAACCTATAAAATCCTTAATGATTTAGCACATTGATACTGTCAGAATGTCTCTGCCAGAAATCGGGTCCCTGTTTCACCTGTTCCTCTTAATCCATGTTGCTGAAAGTGGCCTCAAAGAGCGAGGCCAGAAAGGTGAAGGCAAGGTGTTGGGCTTTTTCGGTGGTGGCCCCTGTTTCAGTAACAGGTCACCAATGGTGATACAACAGGCTCCTTCCCTCCTTCCCAATGTTCAAGACATTGTTGAAAACTGAACTATTCAAAGCTGCCTTCAACAGCTGTTTCCTAGATGCTGTTAATAATAATGTTTTCTTTTCTTTTTGAATGATTTTTTTTCTTTTTTAGTCACCATATTGTCATATGTAATGTGGGGTATAGGATTTTAAAGTTTTAACTTCTAAACTGCCCAGAGTAGTGAGTGCATTAATCTTTTTTTAGTCACCATATTGTCGTATGTAATGTGGGATATATAGGATTTTTAAGTTTTAACTTGTAAACTGCCCAGAGTAGTGAGTGCATTAATAGGGCAATATACTGTATAAACTGAATGAATGCATGAATAAAATCAGTGCCAAGACTTCCAGAAGCCTACCTCAGTGTCTTGATCCTTCTCATTCCAGCGGGGGTTCAGGTACCCGACTCTAGCACTGACATTGGTGGTCATGGCATAGCGGGGGACCTCATCCCACTGGGGAATCCCGTTGTCGATCGCGTCAATCTCCTCCACAAAATTCTCATACAGCTAGAGAAAGAAGGAAAATGAGGAAGAATCAGCTCCGGAAGAGGCCCTTTGGGGCTGATGTTGAGAACCCGAAGGCTGCCTCCATCTTTTTAATGGTCAGCTGAGCAGGAGGGGAGAAGCTAATAAACATGTGATGCAGTCCACCAGGTCCAGCCCAATACATTTTGCTGCCTGAGGTAGAGCAAGAAATAACATTCCAAGCCAAGGGGCCTAGGACTCCATGCTAGTCAACTGTTGCCTTGATAACCAAGTCGGAAAAATCTACCAAGATCCTTCCCCTTGCCCAAATACAGTGGTGCCCCGTATAGCGAGGTTAATCCGTTCCGGATTAACCCTCGCTATACGAATCATCGCTAAACGGGTAGGGGAAAGGTATTGGAACGCATTAAGCACCACTGTATATAAATTAGATTATAGCAGTACTAAACTATATTAATTTACTGCTTTTTCAAGTCCCTGCAAATCAGCTGCCTGAGTCAATCATCTTGTTCTGCCTCTATAAATTAGATTATAGCAGTATTAATTAAACTGTATTAATTTACTGCTTTTTCAAGTCCTTGCAGATCATCTGCCTGAGTCAATCATCTTGTTCTGCCTCATGGCAGGGCTGGCTCCAAGTCAAAGGGACCATGGAAAGTTGAAAGAAAGGCAGCCGGTACAAGTCTATGACTTTTCTCCATCTAAGACCCTTTTGGTGTTTGGAGAAGTGCCCTTTCTCTCACGCGCATGCACCCACACACATACCTTGTCATAGAGTACATGGACCACAGGATCCTCTTCTTTTAGGCCCAGCTGGGTGGCCAGAATCTGAGGGCCAAAATGGTAGTACACTAGCCCTGCACTGCTCAGCTTGGTCTGCCATGGTTTATCTGGATTCAGGCTGTGCATTGACTCTCCAAACGACCTGTGGGAATATGAAAGGGGAATTGGGAAGACCAGTCACAGAACGGAAGCCTGCCCCCTCTTTTCCTCTCATCATCTTATCACGTTAATAGGGACCTCCTACTCCCAAGAACAATAAAAGGAATTCCATGCAAGTGAAAAATTCCTTGTGACTCATGAAACTATAATCTTTGGACAGGGACTGGCATCATCCTTTAAAACTGTGAATAAAGAAACAAAAATATACATACGTACACACACATATACACTGTATATAAGTCAGCCAAAATAACCAGGAAAACAACTGCACACGAGAGCCTCTGTCTTCTTTATGGCCTTCCTTTCCCCAACCCTTTACCTTCTTGTGACTTTTTTTTCAGCTAAAGACTGTCTCATTAGATCTTATGGTGCTCTTCAGCTGAAGAGTGCACCAAGAAAATGCTTCAGATAGTGCATAAAATAAATAATAGTGTAAGTAGGTGAATGGGGAATTTATTTTGGATATGGTGTGAAAAGGAATGATTACTTTGTCTATTTTATGCAGACCATAGGGGGTTTCCTAATTATTTTGTATATTTAGATATCTGGGATTTTTAGGGTATAGGTAAATTGTATTTTAAATTGTAGCTGGATCATAAAGAAGGCTGCCTCCTATAGTCTTCTAATGTAGGGGGGGATGGCAGCCATTGTTCTTCCTGCCTCTTAATCCCAGGTCTGTCATCTTCTGCCTTATAATTTATTGGGGCAAGCAGGAGAGAAGAGGAGGAAAGAGCAAACAGGTGCAACAAATTACAGCTACCTCCTCACATATTGCAAGAAAAGCTATAAAAACAGCCACCCAGCAGAGCTTGGCTGGACCAGATAAAAAGCCCATCTCAGAGCTGGTGAACCCACAGCCCTCTGGTATTCTTGGGACTCCTGCCAGCATGATCTGTGTTGAGGGAGGATGGGAGAAGGAGTTCGCTGACATCTAGAAGGCCACAGGTTCCCCAGACCTGGTGTATCTGTTCTAGCAGTTTGCTCCTATAGTGGCCAACAAGATCTGAGATCAAGCCCACAAGCGGGGGGGGGGGGCAGCTGAGCCTCCAACATTACCTCTGGTGGTGATCATAGCGGTTCCTCTGAGGATCATACTCTCCACCAACATCCACCACCACATCACATTCTGACAACAGCTGGGGATCCCGTGTCCGGACAATCTCTGCATCCTGGGGGCACAAAGATGTGATACAAAATGGGTACTGTGCTTCTTTGGTCATCCATCTTGCATACTCTCATCCTATTCCCTTTGGAGTTAAGAAAGCCTGGATCTACATGATGAAGCATTCTGTGTAATCTGAAAGCTTACACTTGTTTCATAAATTCATATCCCTTTTTCTGTTTCTATAGGCCCACAGGGTCTGCATATTCTGTTGGCATAAAACTGAAAAACTGGTAGTTTAGAGCGCACAGCTGGAAAACAGAACTAGGAATAACACACAAGTGACTAGTGCCTGCACAATTATTCTTGCATCAGCTATTAGCCAGAGAAGGGATACAATTGCTTAAATCCTGTTGTCCAGTTACACAAACGGTATAACTTCTAGAAGTGAATTGCCGTAAGTTAAGAAATCTCCATTGACCTTATATGTTGCCAGCTGAGTTGTGCAACTCAGTATGAAACAAGAGTATGTCTATGGATTTTTTTAAAAAACATATAGCAAACCTATTTCAAAAGTTGTAGCGTTTTTCATACCTGCATAACAAGATTTCGGCCAATTAGTTACACAAACGGTATAACTTTTAGAAGTGAATTGCCGCAAGTTAAGAAATCTCCATTGACCTTATATGTTGCCAGCTGAGTTGTGCAACTCAGTATGAAACAAGAGTATGTCTATGGATTTTTTTAAAAAACATATAGCAAACCTATTTCAAAAGTTGTAGCGTTTTTCATACCTGCATAACAAGATTTCGGCCAATTTCTGTATTTGTCTGGTTGGGGGAGGGGGAATGCATAGTGTGTATGTACATATTAGGTATGTAATTCTTTACATATCAGCATAAAAGCAGTTAATGTGCATAAATCAATGTTAAAAAAGAAACAGCTTGATTTTTTCAAACAATTATCTATGTTTCAAGACCATATGAATGAAGAAAGTGTAACATGAGAAGTATTTGGTGAAATCTCAGGCACCCCTAGAGGCAGAAATGTGGTTGCAGAAGGGAGGAGATCTAACATTTAAAGACATGCAGAGCAAAACACCAATAATGTCAAGATATACAAATTAAGACAGAGTGAAACAGGCCATGTGTTTATCGGGAACTGCCGGAGATTTGCAGGGTCTGTCTCTGCACTATACTGTAGTTAGAGCCATTTGACACTGCTGGAACTCTCGCCGCTTCTCCGCGTGGAATTCTGGGAGGTGTAGTTTGGCGAGGAACTCTCTCCGCCGTAGTTCGCAAGTGAGCACAGGCTCAGCCCTTTCTAAGAAAACTACAAATCCCAGGCTGCCCAAACGGATCACGCCGGGAGTATAACTCTTGTTGTTGTATGCGCACAGCATTCCACAAGAGTCGTGCAAGTTGTGGCAGGAGGCAGCAAATCAGGAACGGCGAGCCGTGTGGATCCGGACCGTCGTCGTCGTAGGAAGAACGACACGTGTTTAGCTGGGGAAGCTTTCCGACGGGGAATAAGCCCCACTAAACCCTGGGACTTACCCCTAAGCAAACGTGCCCTCGGACTGGACTGCAACCAAACGGAGGGGAGGGAGAGAGCAGATTCGGATGCTGATCCGGATTGCATACCTGATAAGAAGGAAGCAGCCGCAGGAGGAAGCACGCCAGCGCCTCGTCGCAGTGGAAGGTCCCTCCGTGGGTGCCGATGCGGGGCGGGCGGGGGCGCTTCGGGCCCGGCATGAGGCTTCGGGTCAAGCGTGGAACGACGGCGAATAAACGGAGCATGCGAACGAGGGCCTTCCAGGGAGCGCGGGCTCGGCTACATCCACCGCCCGCCGCTGCGTGTACCCATTTACCGTATTGTTGAGATTAGACGCGCCCGAAGAACTGCGTTGTAGCCTAGGGGGTAAAAAAAAGAAGCGGAATGTGACTAGATTTGCCTCCCCAAAAATTTACGTCCGGAGAAGCATAGATAAATATGCTTTCCTAGGCAAGACGCGCCCTCCAAGTCTATGCTAAAGTTTGGAGAAGAAGGCAAATTAGGCACCACTGACGCCAATGTCTTGTAGTGTAGTACAGGAGCCCTATCTTAAAAAGTGACCTGCCACTCTCGCAGCGGGGGCAGTCGGAGAGCTTGCCCTCCCGCAGAGGGGCACTTTGGCGCCCAACCAGATGCCCATGGAAACCCCCAAAGGTGTTCGTGTGTTGTTATTCCCTAGCACAGTGGTTCTTAACCTTGTTACTCAGATGCTTTTGAACTGCAACTCCCAGAAACCCCAGTCAGCACAGTTGGTGGTGAAGGCTTCTGGGAGTTGCAGTCCAAAACTCCTGAGTAACCCAAGGTTAAGAGCCAGTGCCCTAGTACACGCAGAAGCAGATTTTATGTGGTCTTGTCATAACTAGGTCTAGAAATTTGGGTCTTTCAACAGAATTTCTTCAAATACCAAACCAAGTGCCTACATTACCACTAAGAGCAAAATCTAGGTGCTGGACAGAAACTCACACCCTTGGAATGTCATGATATGTGTTGCTGTGATGTGCTGTCAAGTTGCTCTTGAACCATGGTGTTCCTGTGGAGTAACGGCCTCCATGTGGTCCTGTAAGTAGCAGCACTGCTCAGTGGTAAATTGGAAGTGTATGTATGTATACACTTCCATAGCTAACACCGACACACACACCCCAATAACCCAGGGGACACAAATACAGTATGCAGGTTACAAGATGGGTGCATATCAGTAATTGAGGAGTAGGTCCTGTACAAAATTAATAGCTCTTAATTGCCCATTTAAGATCAGACCATAATCACTTGGGATTACAACAGGTGTCTCTTGGAACAATATCTTATTTCTGGGAAAACTTGTTCTTCTTCCAGGTACTCTAAATTTTTCAGCTAATTTCAAAGAAATGGGGTAACCCAGGTGGGGTTGAAAAAAGCCGTGGCAGATGATATAATAATCCCTGCTGCTCAGAGAGGCAGGAACACACACACACCAGCCCTTGATATGTTACACTACTAGTAGTCAAATCAAAATACTTTTTTTAAAAACTTAGTCTATCAACTTGGTCCACATCTGAAAAACTTAAAATGCTGTCCTCTGTAGCTTGCTCATTTTCATCTTCTTGTCTGTTCATAATCTGGAAAAGAAAAACAAGCTTTCCCATTTTATTGGGTCCCAAATGATTTCTCAGTTGAGAATTAATGAGTTCAAAGGCAGAGAGTATTCTTTCTACACCAGCATAAGAAGCTACAGTACTGCTGTTAAAAGTGAAATCATTGCTTTAATAGTCTCTAAACCCAAGTGCTTATGTGACTTCTCCAAGTCATTTGGTGTGATTGCCTTTAAAACACTGTGAGCAGGAGCACAGAAGTGTGCCGTCCTCAATGAAGGAACCACAAGAAAAACAAGGAGATTGTGCAGTAGGAGAGTTGATAAAACTGGACGATGAAGGAACAGGAGTTACGAAGGCAGTGGGAGTGTTTCTGGCAGAAAAGAAAGAGAGACAAGCGAGGGAGGAGTCAGGAGGGTGGAGATGGGTGTTACATACAGCACTGATGTTACCTGTCTGTCATGGGTTTGGAGGGAAAGTTCCATCCTATGGGGAGTGGAAGGCGGGACATCAGGAGGAGGGGCTGTACTGTATATATATGTGGAGCGTGTGTGGTTTCCCATTTTATTGGGTCCCAAATGATTTCTCAGTTGAGAATTAATGAGTTCAAAGGCAGAGAGTATTCTTTCTACACCAGCATAAGAAGCTACAGTACTGCTGTTAAAAGTGAAATCATTGCTTTAATAGTTTCTAAACCCAAGTGCTTATGTGACTTCTCCAAGTCAATTGGTGTGATTGCCTTTAAAACACGGTGAGCAGGAGCACAGAAGTGTGCCGTCCTCAATGAAGGAACCACAAGAAAAACAAGGAGATTGTGCAGTAGGAGAGTTGATAAACTCTCCTACTGCACAATCAAATAGAAAGATCCAGAATACAGGTTGCTGTCCTCTGAAGATGCCGGCCACAGAGACTGGCGAAACGTCAGGAAGAACAACCTTCCGAACACGGCCAAAGAGCCCGAAAAACCCAGAACAACCATTAGATCCTGGCCGTGAAAGCCTTCACGAATATACAGAGATGATAAAACTGGACGATGAAGGAACAGGAGTTACGAAGGCAGTGGGAGTGTTTCTGGCAGAAAAGAAAGAGAGACAAGCGAGGGAGGAGTCAGGAGGGTGGAGATGGGAAGATATAAAAGGAGAGAATGAGGAGAGAGGGGGGAGGAAGGAATTGAGAGAGAGAGGCATACAGACGGATGAGACTGGAGAGCAGAGAGATAGGATCGCTAAACTGGTAAAAGACTTTCCCAATCTGATGACGGGAGGAGGATTGTCGCCAACACCACCTAATTGGAATCAAAGGGGAGTTGGTGAACAGAGTGAAAAATGGAAATGGGAAACAACGTCTCTTATTCCGGGTTTGGGGAAGGAGGAGATCTCTTGTGGTACCAGTCCCTATCTCCCCAGGTTGGAGGGTTCCCGAGTGGTACACCCTTGTTGCGGGACGGTTTGTGTAGTTCTAAGCACACTGCTGCAGAACCAAGTAACCAGCTCTATCCTTGCAGTGAAGAGAATGTGAAAGAAACTAAGATTGTTGAGAATGTTAGAGTTAAAAGTTATAAGCTGTTGCCAGAGGTGGAAATGTTAGATCCGTTCATTTTAGGTGTTTCTGAAGTTAAAGACAATAAACAACCGTTATTTGTACCAGTTGCTTCGTCTCCGTCAGTTCCTCCCGCCAGAACCCCAGGCCCTCTTTCAAAAGAACCCAATCACGAACACCTTCAGTGAACCTCTAATTCTTGAATGGTTCCCCCTTAACCTTGAAGTTTATTATAGTTTGGCATTACAGATGGATGGTTACTAGATCCTCATGTCATAGCTAACTCTTCTTCCTCAGCAGATAAGGTTTGACCCTGGTGCCGGATATTGACAATATTTGCGAGAAAATCAGTTGGAAGCAATGCTAGTCTCATTTGTTTTTTAAATGTTTGTAATCTAATTCTGTCAGTGTTTAGTTCTGTTTTTAAGAACTCACCCAGTTCCTTCCAAATTCCAATAGCAGCACAATAAAACAGCTATTTTGTTTAAAGTTTCAGAAATGGGTTTCATGATGTACAGCATATGCTTAACATTACTGCACGCATCAAGACTTACAGTAGGTTAACCATGTTACCCTCTAGACGTGTTGCACATTGCTCCATTTCTCTGTCATGCTCTTTATCCAGCAGTTTCCCTGAAACATTGGCTCTGCTGAGTGGACTGTATCCTCGTCTGAGTGACTGAACCATATTAATGACGTGTGGGTTTTCAATCAAATAGAAAGAAGAGTTTGTCACGTAAACAAACTGGGCCATTTTTTCCGTCAACACTTTCTAATCTGTTGGTTTTTATCATATACAGTGGTGCCTCACTTAGCGATCGCTCCGTTGAGCGATGAAATCGCTTAGCGATGGGGTTTTGGCCATCGCCATAGCGATCGCTTAGCGATGGCCCCTATGGGGAAAAATCGCTTTGCGATGATCGCGGGGAAGCAATCATCGCAAAGCCCCCATTTTCGGCCAGCTGATTGGCGGTTCCAAAATGGCCGCCGGAAAAACAAAATGGCCGCCCGCTGTTTTACCTCGCTTTAGAGGCACCGAAAATGTCCGCCCCTATGGAGGATCTTGGCATAAGGTCAATTTTTAAACCCATAGGAACGCATTAAACACGTTTTAATGCGTTTCTATGGGCTTTTTTATTCCGTTTAGCGATGAAATCGCTTAGCAACGTTTTTCCTGGAACTGATTAACGTTGCTAAGTGAGGCGCTACTTATCTACGGTGGGTCCTGACTGATTGGCTTTTTTCTTTCTTTTAGGTGATATAATGTAGACATGTGATGTACATGACATGACTGAAACACAGGTCTGGGTAAAAGTCAGATCCATGAAATTAAAAAAACAGATTCTTATGATTTCATATGATTTTTATGTGTGATCCTTGCAAAACCACCATCAAATCATAGATGCCATCCCTGCTCACAGACTACAACACAGAAATCATGGATCCTTTGCCACATGGCTTTGCAGCAAAAACATTAATGCATAGATCCATATGCTTTTTACACAAGGTCATCCCTAAATCCTGGGGCACAAGATCCACCAAACCTGAAGCCTGTGAAAACCCAAAACCAACAGCCACAAGAACCCCAAAATTCAGGGCCACCAGAAATGAATCCTAAAAATGTAGGGGCCAAAAGAACCTTAAAAACCCAGGGCCATAGGAACTCCTAAATCTGTGGTCCTTGCAACCCCAAACCTGGTGGCCATGATCCAGATTTACAGGAACCCCAAAATCTCTGGGCCATAATCCAGAAACCACCACATCCCCAAAACCCAAAATCTAGAGGCAAAAAGATCCCCAAAACCCAGTGGCCATGAGAACCACAAAAACCAGGGCCAACAGAAATGAACCACCAAATCTACGGCCACAGGAACTCCCATCTGGGGTTCCTGCAACCCCCAAACCTGGGAGTCACATTCCAGGGGCCACAAGCACCTCAAATCCAGGGGTAATTGCAACCCCAAAACCCAGGGACCACAATCCAGGGGTTGCAAGAACCCCGAAACCAGGGTCCCTGGAACCTGAACCCATGCAATTATTTACCATTGTGAAGAAACATGTGGCCAAAAAGTCAATTGTGACTTTGTCCTAATCTTTGTAGTACTCATTGTAACACAAACAACCTCTAGGACATGGACCCCCTCTAGGTCCATGTGTGGAGTTAGGTCTAGGTCTGTACCTCATGGCGTGACCAAATTTGCAACCATTGTGGCTAGGTCCATTGGCATGAATATGTGCCGTGATTTAACTAT